GGGGAGCGCGCCAGCCCTTGGGGCGGGGGCAGCGTCCGGGGTCGGCCCGCCTGGCAGCCAGGAAGAGAAATCCCCCGGTTTCAGATTAAAAGAAGTAACCCCACATCCACTTTTTTCCATGATTAAAATGAAACACCACTAATATTTGCGTGTGTGTGTCTATTTATGCACGCATAAATGTGCGTGCATATATACATGTATATAAGTATGTGTGTGCATATCTAGATGAATATACGTATGTACATGTATGTGTGTGTATATAAGTATGTGTGTATATGTATATAAGTGTGCATATATATGTGTGTGTACATATATATGTATACAAGTATGTATGTATGTGTGTGTGTGTATATATACATATCTATATAAAGGTGTGCGTATATATATAGTGTGTGTGTATGTATATGTATATAAGTCTGTATGTCTGTGTATATATATGTATATGTGTGTGCATGTGTATATGTATGTATATAAAAGTATGTATGTGTGTGTATATATACACGCGTATATGTGTGCACATATATATGTGTGTGTGTATATACACGTGTATATGTATATGTGTGTGTATGTATGTATATGTATATAAGTATGTATGTCTGCATATATATGTATATAAGTGTGTGCATGTGTGTGTGTGTGTTTTATTTATTTAATTTGTATCCAAGGCCAAAACTAATTCCACATCGGAGAGTCCAGAACCAGAAGTGGCAAACATCCTCCACCCGCACCTGGGACGTCAGATGTTTCCAAAACCGTTGGCGGGCATCCTACGTGCAGGCCCAAGCCCGAAGGCATGGGGTTCGGATGCCCCAGAGTTTTGCTTGCCCCCAGCCACAAGCCTCTCGGAGCAAGCGAAGGAGGAGACTCCCGTTTCCATAAATTGGGCTTAAAGCTGCTGCACCTCGGCGGGTACTGAACCAGCCAAGAGGGCCATTCTCCTGCCAGGCGGTTCAGGAAAACTGCCTTCATGGACACAGGCAGACAAGGTTCCTTGGGTGAATTTGATCCCTTTTATTAGACCAACCCAAATGGTTGGAGAATAGTTATTAAGCAAGCTTTCGGGTTCAAAAACCCTTCGTCAGGCTAAGGAAGCTGCAGTAGTTGGTGTGTGCAAGAGCTTGCTTAATAACTATTCTCCAACCATTTGGGTTGGTCTAATAAAAGATATCAAATTCACCCAAGGAACCTTGTCTGCCTGTGTCCTTAGACCAACACGGCTACAACCTAAACCCCTGCTTCATGGACACAGATACATGGTGTTTCCCCTGCCAGATTAAGAAGCCATTATGCTTGATCCGAACCTTCAAGAGGCCAAGAAGATATAGATTCATAGTTTGCACGGGGCTGGAAGAGACGGGACACAGATACATGGTGTTTCCCCTGCCAGATTAAGAAGCCATTATGCTTGATCCGAACCTTCAAGAGGCCAAGAAGATATAGATTCATAGTTTGCACGGGGCTGGAAGAGACGTCAGAAGATCATCGGGTCCAGCCCCCCTGCACCAAGCAGGAAAGATAACTGGAGGTCAGGTGACCCCAGCAAGGTGACTGTCTAGTCTCCTCTTGAAGATTTCCAGGGTAGGTGATTGCACCACCTCTGGAGGGAGCTTATTCCACAGTCTGGACACCCTGACTGTGAAGAAGTTCTTCCTAATGTTGAGTCTGAATCAATCTTCTGGAGTTTGTAGCCATTACTCCTAGTTTTCCCCTCGGGTGCCCTGGGGAACAGTTGCTCACCAAGCCCCTGATGTACTCCCCTAGTGTAGCGGTAAGCTGATACCAGGTCCCCTCTCAGCCTTCTTTTCTTCAGGCTGAAGAGTCCCAGGTCCCTCAGCCTTTCCTCGTATGACTTGCCATGTAAGGCTCTGATCATACAGGTGGCTCTTCTCTGGACTCTCTCAAGCTTGTCCATCAGCGACACGTAGGGGGTGCACACGGGGGCACATGCACCCCCTGAAACTGGCAGTGCACCCCCTGAGAGAAGCACTGCTGACGCTGCCAGTGACACTTGCAGGCAGTCACCGCTTGCCACCTCCCCCAACCTCCAAGGGCAAGTGTCATTCATGAGTTTGTCCATGTCCTCGTTAAAATGCAGTGCCCAGAACTGGACGCAGTACTCCAGCTGTGGTCTCGCCAATGCTAAGTAGAGCAGAAGAATCACCTCCTTGGTTTTGCTGGAGATGCATCAATTGATGCACACTAGAGTATTATTTGCCCTCCTGGCTACAGCATTGCACTGCCGGCTCATATTCACACTGTGGTCTATTATTACCCCCAGGTCCCTTTCATATACAGTGGTGTTTCATTTTGATTAGGAAAAAATATGGATTTGGGGTTAGTTTTTTAAATCCAAAAATTGGGGATTTTTTTTTATCAGAGCAACCAGGATCCCTGGTGATGGGCAACCTGTCCAGTGGCCTCTTCCTCCTGCCAGCGTCTTCCCCTTAAAGCCCTTTCTGCCAGCAGCTGATAATGTAAATCCAGAAATGATTCAGGCTGAACTCGCTGTTGGGAACTGTACTATTATAGCTCAGCGGTTCTCAACCTTTTTTCTACCAGGACCCATTTGTAAACATCGATGGCCAGTCCTGACCCAGTGCCCCTCTGCCAGCCTGCAATGGAAAATGGTTACCCACATTTTTCTCCTTCAAAGGAGAATAATTTTTTTAAGTTTGTTCACAGCCCTTTCATATATTCTTGCCACCCACTTTTGGGTTGCGACCCACAGGTTGAGAAACTGTTATAGCAGACACTGGGCCAGCTGTGGGGAAGCCTGGAGTCCTCCAGGCATTGGTAGGTCTGGTTGACCAACTTGTGGTGGACTCGAGTGCCACCAGTGGTACCACTGCCTCTGTGTGTGGCATGCAGCAGACTGGGGCAGACAGGCAACAGGGGGGCAGATAGGGCAGGGGACACAGGGCATGGAGTAGAAAGCAAAGCAGCAGATCAAGTAAGGGGAAGGGATCAGAGTGGCACTGGGGGAGGGCATGGGGCTAATTTGTGGCACAAGAAGGTTGGCCCCCACTGGCATAGATGAATCACATTTAGAGTTAGGAGCATGGGTTGATATGAGACCTTAGTTAAAATGTGTGCCAAAGGCTGTGAGGACACTGCTGTTTTGCACTGTATCCACCCATTGCAGGGGTTTCTAAAAATGATCAGGCACAGATTGTAGCTAAGCTGTAATTAAGTGAGGCTTAAACAGAGACAAGTGTCTCTACAAGGCTGTGCTGGTCCTTTGGTATAACTTTAAGAACTGGGATACTCCACGATATCAGACAAGGGCATAACTCTCTTAACTGCATAACCCAGCGCCAGTCCCAACGTGTTACCTAATCCTTGTGTTGTAACAAATATTAGTCATTTGAGTATGTTAAGTGCATAGCATCTTTCAAACTAACTGCATGATGTGAAATGATTAGGAATTGCCAGTTTCAACTGATGTTAGAGCAGGGGTGGGCAAAATGCGGCCCATGGGCCGGATGCAGCCCGCCAAGCCATTCTATCCGGCCTGCGGAGCCCCTAAACAATTTAGAAAATTAATATTAATCTGCCCTGGGCTGCCTGTCCTGTAGCCCTCGATGGCTTGCTGAAACTCAGTAAGCGGCCCTCTGCCCAAAATAATTGCCCGCCCCTGTGTTAGAGAGAGAAAAACCTTCACCAAAATACGGCAAGAAACTTTATTTAATCAGCACCAGAAAAAGCTTAGCCCGGCTGTTCCTGTGTTAGTAAGCTGTGTTTACACAGAGTTAGGGTAAGCGCTTACTCTCAATAACATTGTTTCACTCCTGCTACTATGCATTAAAAGAATAAAACCAACTCAATGGACAACTACTTGTTTCATATATTTAGAAAAATCAGTTCTTCCCAATCTTTTTCCAATCCATTCCCAAGCTGACATTTTCAGTTTGTTTGAGGTTTAAAATACATGGGCACGCCTGGCATAAAAGCTTATATCTTCTCTGCTGGCAGCAACTCCAAGCTCTGTAAAAACCCCTTTAACTTCAGTAGAAATACCCCAGAGTGTAATAACTGCATGTCTTAGACTGTGTACACATATACTAATATGTACCCCTCTAGCTACCATGTAGGTCCTATATTCTCTTTCAACTCTACAAAGCAATGTAAATAACTATGATTTTTAACATTCACTAATAAAGGCTTAAATACATCTGCTTGGAACAACCTGAGGCCCCAGAGCAGCCCATATT